GATGTGGGCGCTGGGGGGGGGGGGGGGTGCGTCGACATGGTCGGGACATAGAAGGGGGTGCGCGGCTAAATAAGTTTGGGAACCACTGGTGTAGAGCAATACATTTACATTCAGTTGCTTGAGTCAATGATCAAGAATTAATAAACATAAATTTTCCATAACATTCCCTCCTGTTTGTCCGAATAGGATAACCAAACAAAGGGAAACAACAAAACAAAACCAAATAAGGAAAACAAAAGAAGTAAGATAAAAACGAATATTATCCACTTACATAACTAGTCACCATCATCTATGAAAGCTACATCATCACAAATCAAGGAATAGAAATGGGGTAAACCAGGAAAGGTGATCATCTCAGTAGTCATAAGGGCCAATACAAATCAAGTACTCAAGACAAAAATGATAAGCATCAAACAAGAAAAATAATAAGTAAAGTAATAAACCCTACGATCAGATATGAAAGGCTCAGAATCAACACGAAGTGGGAACACAGCATGAGGTGCTGCATTTGTTTGTCTATTGCGGATCTTAATCTCAATACTGTTAACTTGTCCAAAGAATCATTCCATACAACGTTTAATACAAAAATCAGCTAAATAATAAAAACAAAGAAGGTAATAAACATGATAAGGTAAACACAATTGACAATAATATCTTACAGCAGTTCACAGAGATGGAATGGAATCAGGTAAATCAACACAATTATAACCTTAAGAAAAGCTATTTCATACATATTGAAATGGAATTTACTGTGATGCACAATTCTACAATTTTATGGCAGTTCCTGTAAGGAGACTGGGAAGGGTTAGCAAACCATATAATACACAGAAAACATCAGTACAATGTACTGAAGCATCGGGTGAATTTAATTAAAATCTCCAAGTTGCAGACAAATCTTTCTGTGAAGGAGAAAAAATGAAGGCGTAATATTAATTTACGCAACTCTAACCACAGCAGAGCTGAGGCAACCCAGGCGTTCTTCATCAAAGGGCTTGTCCGTGGACTGAGAGTCCCGGTTGGAGAATAGGTTTGAAAGTGTTCGAAAAATACTTGCGGCTGGAAAACTCGTAGCACGGATCCAATATTTTTATCATTTTCTTAAATCCCACTCCTACTGTTCGCACGGGACACAAATCTTTAACCAAGTGGTACGTCACTGCATCTGTCACGCTGTTCCATCGTCTGCTGTCTCTGTCGTAAGAGTGAGTTTTGTGAGTGTTTCTGTTAGCGTTTGCTGCCGGGAAGAAGCACTAGCCGCTGCAGCCGCAGGCTTTTTAGCTTTAGCTGCAAGCTGGCTCTCATTGTACTGTTTGGGATGCCTTCTTTTCAAGTGATTAAACAAGTTTGTGGTGTTGCCATCCCTTGCCTTGACACACTCCTTGCAAACTTTGCAAATGACGTTTTGTTGCTCTTGTCGTCTGGTGAAAAACCGAACCAGTTCCATATAATGGACGAGGCGTTCCTCTTCGGAACGAAAACCTCGTTGTCGCTCCTCAGCCGTGGCCGAAGCCATGTTTGTTCACACACAGGTGAAAACAAGCGGGGCACTAATATATTACCATGACTCACTCTGATTGGTTAAGGTCAAACAAAGGTGTGTCATTCGCCTGAGGTAAGTTCACTTTTCATTCAGAGGCAGAATTTCAACAGCAGAGCTGTGAATTGTGATGAAAAGGACTCTCAAAAATGACAGACTGTCAGATTTGTAGATCGTAAAATGGTCTAAAATCGTCATATCGCCCAGCCCTAATGTGTACTGAAACTCTTAATTTTCCTCTGGGATTAATAAAGTATCTTTGAATTGAATTGAATTGAATTGAATGTGGCCCCGAGAAGTGGCATAATTACACTCAGTCACATTAAAAAGAAAAAAAAAATTAAATCTTACTAAGAAACAGCCAAATCACTCATTCGTCATCCAAATCCTGTTTATAAAATAAATTTAGGTATGTACAAAGATTTTTAAACTTTATCATGTTTTATGAAATCCAAGTTATGAAATGTAGGCAATTTCATACTGCCTGGCCTACAATAAATTAAAATATGTGGTCATGTACAAAATTTACTATGTGAAGTGGTCAGCAACAAATCTGTTAATCGGTTTAAATTTGACCAATATTAAATGGTTCAGCCAGAAACTACATAACTTTATATTTCTCCTAATTCCAAAGTGAGCAAGGTAGAACCGCGGTGTCAACATTAGCCTAATCTCAGCCGGTCCCAAAACATGTTTACATTCCAGAGAGGACAGATGAATTCTAATCAACTGTCCAGTTACTTCATTCTAAATTTAAAAGTGTGCAAAATCCATATTTAAATTAAAACTTAACTTATCCATAACCAACTTTTAAGTTAAATTAACAACTCAAGAGTTACTCTTCCCTTTTGGCATTGTTTATCTTTTAGGAATTATATTAGAAGCTTTTCTGATTTCTGTTCAAGAATCACATGGCTGATAGGATATTGTTTCACTTGTGCCCAAGGTCTGTTAGAATGCGTGTTCACATTCTGATACGACCTTGCTGTTTAACCCAGACACAGAGGAGCGTGAAATGTTGTGTCAAAGCATTTAAAAGTTCCCAAGCTGAGAATACATGAAGAATTAAAACTTATTAAATGCTAATTGCCTACAACAGCTTTAATCTGCTGTCTCATTTCAATTTTACTTCCAGTTTCCCCTCTTGTTTTGATCACAATGTCCGCTAATCGGAGATCTGAACAAGCTTCTACATTTGACAGACACCAGGAGATTCAGTTCATGACAACTGATATTCAGTGTTCAAAAATGCAGTTTTTGAATTCAACAGGTGCTGCACACCAAATCTGCTGTTGCCCGGGCTTGATTGTCATTCGCTGAGAACTCCCTTGTCCTATTTCAAAATGTCAGAGACAAGGATAAAAATAAAAAAAAAGAAAATAAACAACAAAATAAGGAGATAAAATGCAATTTGACAATAGTCATAGTCAAATAATGTCACAGTTTTGTTGGTCTGGAATTACTGTTAAATCACACAGTCAATTTCCCAGCCCAAGGGTAGCAACTAATAACCTCCATACTTGGCTATTATTTTGGCTCCCTTTCTACTACCATGTACTGATAAACACTCAATTTCTCGAACCGGGGGGTTTCACTAAAACCCTTCACTTTCATCCACTAAAGTGACACAGTTTATAGTTCAAATTATATTAATCGCCAGATACCAGAAATTAAATATTTGGGTCGTGTCTAACCTTTTGATGCACAAATTATGAAATCTTCAACCATGATTATTTAACAATTATTCTCATTCATCTTTGGGTGTGAATGAAACAAATTTCAACAAATATTGTTTGTAACATTTAATAATTTGCTAATAATTTATTACATGTTCACCTCAGTGGACAGCGTGTATTCTGAACATGAAATATGTTGGCTGGACTTGCTGAAGTCCACATAGAGCAGGGGTGTCAAACTCAAACTCACAATGGGCCGAAATGAAACTCTGGGACGGTGTCGAGGGCCAAACTTAATATTTTTTGAAAAAGTGACGGCAAATTTGCACGTTTTCTTTATCACCATGTATGCAATTTTGAACCTTTAAATTTGGAAACAAACGTATTTCTGCATTAACACTGAATGTGGAATAACCAAATTACACACGAGCAAGTCAGTTTTAAATAAAAGGCATCAGTGGTATTCAATACTTGTGGGATAATCAGCATTTTTAAAATCTTTTCAGGATTTATGTTTTCTTGTTTATTCATTTTTCTTATTTTTATTCTCCTTTTTTTCTCCTGTAATACGTGTCATCGCTGCTGTGACGTCTACCTTTCCCCACTGAGGAACAATAAAGGGATTTTCTATTCTATTCATCTATCTGCAGCCTTTCCACTTCCTGTTTACTGTAGGTTAAATCTTTTCTTACGTGCCAACAACAAAATAAAAATATCATTTTATCTTAAATGAAAATGCAACATCTCACCTGTTAACTTTCATGTTTTGGATTAGAAAAAGAGCATAAAACCAACATATTTAAAGCTCAGTTTGCTCCACTGGTTTACTGTGATGCTCACCTGTTCCAGCCAGATACCTGCATCATGGGGTTGATCTGAGCTGAGGAGGAGACTCCTGTTGTTTTGTTCATCTTCATCATAATAATGACAACATTAGATGACAACAGGTGCTCACATAGGTTTGTGCTGCTGAACATGTCTGAGCAGCTTGACCACGTTGTTGTGTGTCGGGGAGGAAACACGACAGCAGCCACAGAGTCGTGCTGGTTTGAGCGTGTCGCTGCTCGCTGGAGTTATATCAGCTCTGTCTGGACGTTAGTTTGAAAACTTTCTCTTTCAGTCGTGAACACATTACTGAGCAGCTAGAATCTCCGTTTCTGGGCTTCAACGTCAGAAAACAGCTGAGTGAACTCGGCGCTGAGTGAGAGGAGTGTAGTTTGTCTGAGACAGCCGAGCTGCAGACACCCAACTACCTCTGACTGCCTCGGCGCTGAAAAAACACAAAGGAGGGTGCGCGTCTGCTCCGCGCTGGCGCCGCAAAGCATCATGGGAGTTGTAGTCTTTGCGGTAAAATCGGCCAGCAGGCCAGTTTTAATATATTTTTGATATTTATCTCGCGGGCCACATAAAAATGCTCCGCGGGCCGCATATGGCCCGCGGGCCTTGACTCTGACATATGTGACATAGAGGGTCTCAAATGCAATAAAGTACTCAACAGCTGTGCTTAATAGCAAAAACAAATAAGTAAATTACAATTTTGAGAACCTGTTCAAATTATATTTTTCATCTTTATTTTCTCGTTATAACCTTCAGGCCGCAATTGACCTTGGTGGCTTAGACTCATGGCACAGCTGCGGTTGTTTTGGTTTTTTAGGCAGGCCTTGCCTCCTCTCTGTTTCACATTTTCAACACTTTTTTTCTCTCCACCGCTCTGTGCTTTCTTGTAAGCATAATACATTTGTGACACGTCAGCGGTTATCAAAAACACGTTTTCCATCAATTCGCTGATAATTTTCAAACCATTTCCACATTTCCAGGATCTACATTTCCATCAATGTGCAATATTTACTCAGAAGGTATTTCGTGAGTTCTTATTCCCCCATACATAGATACCACACGTACAAAGCAATCCATACACTCTCATTTATCCAAACAACAATTAAAGCAGGCAACATCTAAGACAAACAAACAACAATACAGATAACTAGAGTAGCGCTTCTTATACAAGGCAAAACACCCAAAGACCCAAGCCAAATTCTCCCATAGCAGGGTAGCATTTATACTTCCAGCCAAAACGCCCAAAAACCAATTGAACCTCTTAGTTATCACACCGGTCCATTTATTTATCATTTATAACTTTATCACACCAGGGTAGCGTTTATATTTTGGCAAAAACGCCCAAAAAACCAAGCCAATAGAGCATTTCCGGAATCTGTTTGTCTTTCTCTCTGACCAAAACAGCATTCCAGGAATCTGTCAGCGTTTATATTTTCCGGCTAAAACGCCCAAAAACCAATTTAACCCCTGGTCACCTTGGATTCTCTCTCGGTACCACAAGACAAAGCGACAAAAAACAACTTGTCTCACCAAATCTCTCCACTCAGGGCTTGAGTTCGTGGATACGCATTCCTCCTAACGACGTCAAGACCTCACCGACCCCCCAGCAAACTCAGCGCTGGAGATTAGGTAGTCGACAGTCGTCCGGCGTCGGCTCTTGGCGCCGCAAGGTGATGCGACCCCCGCTTTCGAAGGACCAAATAATGTCATGGATTTTATCAATATGTTCATCAATAACCCATTTCCTATAGTGAAGAGAGAAGGAGACAATGAGCAGACAAGTCAAACAGTTATAACTGTGGCAAAATGCACCGAACATCCGGTCACAAAGTTTATTTATAGAGAGGGGGAGTGAGAGAGAGATTGTGTGTGTGTGTGTGTGTGTGTGTGTGTGTGTGTGTGTGTGTGTGTGTGTGTGTGTGTGTGTGTGTGTGTGTGTGTGTGTGTGTGGCATAGAGCAATACATTTACATTCAGTTGACTGAGTCAATGATCAAGAATTAATAAACATAAATTTTCCATAACAACCAGATTTCTGTTTTGGATTGTTTATGAACGGGGGAATGACGGGTGTGTTCTTCACCAGTGTCGGCTGCTGGAGGAGCACTTGGAAAGAGGCGAGCTGTTCAAGGAGTTTGAGAGCATCCCGAAGCGCCGTCTGGGATCGGAGTGCAACGTAGCTGGAAATCCAGAAAATGTCGAGAAGAACCGCTTCCTGGACGTCCTGCCCTATGACAACACCAGAGTGGAGCTGGTTCCCACTAAAGAGAACAACACGGGCTACATCAATGCCTCTCACATCAAAGTAAGACACACACACACACACGCACGCACGCACGCGCGCACACGCACACACACACACAAAGAGCATTTCATGAATCTCCTGATCCATGGAAATGAAACTAGTAGAGTCAAGTCATAAGTCATTAAAATAGTGCGGCGAGTCTGTCTCGAGTCCAAGTCATGTGACTCAAGTCCACACCTCTGATCCAAGCATCAATAATGTTAAACAATAATATGATTTACTTGTTTTAAATCGCCCAGCTTTTCTCACTGATCTGTGATCAGATTGAGTTACAGCCCCAGAATCCTTCAGTGTGTGTATTCTCTTTGTTGTGTGTCTTTAGGTGAGAGTAGACGGACAGGAATGGAGCTACATCGCTGCTCAGGGTCCCATGTCTCACACATGTCAGGACTTCTGGCAGATGGTGTGGGAGCAGAGTGTTTCCATCATCGCCATGGTTACTGCTGAAGAGGTGAGCTCCGTAGCTTCTGTTTCATGCTCTTTAACAGGTCATTGCTCCTAGCTGACGTCTGACACGTCGCCCTGCTCCTGTAGGAGAGCGGTCGAGAGAAGAGCTACCGTTATTGGCCCCGGCTCGGCTCGCGACACAACACGGTGACCTATGGCCGCTTTAAGATCACCACGCGGTTCCGCACGGACTCTGGCTGCTACGCCACCACGGGGCTAAAGATCAAACACCTTTTAACGGGACAGGAGAGGACCGTCTGGCACCTGCAGTACACGGACTGGCCCGACCACGGATGTCCCGAGGACTTTAAAGGATTCCTATGTGAGCTCCTTGTTTTATTATGATTCCACCCTCTAGTAGGTGTAGTTTTATAATTGATTTGGGATGCAGCTAAACAGGTGGTGTGTCAGTGCTGATTGGCAGTGAACGGTTATTTTGTTGTCAGGTGTCAGCGACTACTTTAATTGTTATTTAGAAATCCTTTAAACAGATCTGACCCAAAAGTTCTGAACTTCCAGGCAAGATTAACAGAAATCAGAACTTTTCTTGTCTTTTAAATGAAACCTCATGTAATGTTGTATTAACTGTCCAGCGTACCTGGAGGAGATCCAGTCTGTGAGGAGACACACGAACAGCACCAGCGACCCAAAGAACATCAACCAGCCCGTGGTGGTCCACTGCAGTGCCGGAGTGGGTCGATCCGGTGTCGTCATCCTGTCTGAGCTCATGATCGCTTGTCAGGAGCACAACGAGGTGACCGCCTTTTATAAAAGCGCAGAAACAAACCTCCGCATCTGCTTTAGTTAATGATGAACGTTTCTTACAGTCGATGGACGTCTCGAGGATCCTGAGGGAGCTACGTGATCAGAGGATGTTGATGGTCCAGACGCTGTCTCAGTACACCTTCGTCTACAAGGTCCTGATCGAGTACCTCCGTAACTCCAGGCTGATCTGATCACAGGAGCTTTTAGTGTGATGAATAATTTAAAAATGGATTTAACATTGATGCCAAAGGACACCGCAGAAATGCAGCTTCTCACATCTGTTAAGAGACTCCGGGCCCGGGTGTTGAGTAGAAAGGGTCAGATGGAATGGAGAAGACGTGAGACTGTGACCTGCCTCTAAACAGTATTATCAGAAATCCCAGCACTTTCTCATAACCACCAATATTCCTCTTCATTAAACGGAGGCTTTATTACAGCTGTGGTTCGTTTTTAAGAGTTATCCCAGTGTGTTTGGATGCATTTATTCCCACATCAGTTCATTCATGTTCCTCTGCTGTTTAAAAAATCCACTCTGCTGCACATTTGGAATCTTTGGAAAACACTGGAATTGTGGGAATCTTTATGAAGAGCTGCATTCATTTGGGAAACAGTTAAAATATCTTATTTTATTTAAAAATTCTACTGGAAACGTTACCTTTTTCAGAGTTAAACCGGAGCAGAATCAGTTTATATTTATTGATGTGAGCCTCGTTCTTGAAGGAGTCAGTTGGAAGAAGGGAGGAAAAAGAGCTTTTAAACAAACGTGGAGAAAATTGTGTGTGTGTGCGTGTGTGTGTGCGCGGTGGGATTTGGCTGCCTTGTGACCTGGTGGTGCTCTGAGGGTCAAGCATGAGACCGTCTCCTCGACCCTGAACTGTGATCGAGCAGATTCCGATCACGTGGAAATCCGAATTTAAACTGCACAGAAACAATGTTTACATATTATTGAAGTTGCTTTTAAACAAATATGAAGTCTTGTGATAAAGGTGCCATCTTAATCAGGTGCCCTGGTTGCTGTTGACAAGTTTTTCCAGAAACACTTGTGATTAGATCATAGTGAATCAAGGAAAAATGCTTTTGCTTTGATTCAATCGACTGTTTCAAACTCCTTTTACATTTTGTGCTTTTGACGTTACACGAGTTTGGAAGCTAAAGAAAGCTTTTGTGGCCAAAAATGACAAACGTTTATGTACAGTTGAGTTTAATATTGTACACAATGTAAAGTTCTGCTTTGCTGAATATTGTACATAAAATTGTATAAATTCTATGTATTAAAAACGTTACTGAATAAAAGTGGAAAATGAGTAGTTGTTGCTTCTTTACCAGTGTTTTTGTGCCACCTTGTGGTAGGTCTTGGTATTAACCTGTGAATGGTATTCATGTTTTTTTTTTCACTTTAACATTTCAGATCCCCTGGGTTAATACAACACAGGCAGATCATGTGTAAGGAGGAGTCACCCAAACCTAATTATAACTTAATTCTCCCCGTTTGTTAAATCATGAATCAGCTTTATTTAACCAGATGAGTCGGTTGAGAGCTCATTTGCAACAATGATCTGAATTCAATATGGTTTATAAAATGTGAAAATGGTGTTTAAATGAGGTCATTTTTGTGAATGAATCATGTTCTGCCACCTGGTGGCACAATGTGTCTTTTCTTTAAAATAATAGATTTTATTTTATATGAAAAGACATTAATGCAAGTCAAGTGAGAATCACTGCATTTTCTTGCATTCTGGGTCAGATTTTTCCATGCGTGAAGATGAATTTATGGATTAAACAGAACTACATTATTATTGTCAGTGTCCGCAGTTCATCTGAGATACTTGCAGTTAGAATCTGTTTTTGTTTTTCCTCACAGTTAAAAAGCAGAATCTGTCATTTTTCCTTCAACAAAAAGCAACTCAGCTTCTTGTTATAAATCCATCCCCGTATCCAAAACACACTTTTAGTGTTTTTGAATCTTCAGTACAAAAGAGCTTTTGACAGAACATTCTGAGAGTACAAAACAAAAGTGGTTTACATAAAAACATCAAGAGTTTTACTACTTTCCAATTTTCGAGACATTTCCCTGTTAACCATCAAAGCTCAATTGCAAATGACCACAATCAGATCAAATTAAAACAAATTGAGTTCTAATCTTAAACTGAAAAAATTAAACTCAGGAGGAAAATGCAAATGTTACACGAAAACATTTGTGTTTATCAGATAGAAAATAAATTAATGGAATATTTCTGTTTACAAAACAAACTGAGGAGAATAAAAGAAGCAGATTTTGCAGTGTAGACGGAAGTTCCTACTGTGGCTAGTGTCAGTTTGAGATCGCATGAATATTTTCTTCCATATAAAAACACTAAAAAACTCAACAGTCAATGACCAAAGCTAAAAACCTGATAAGAGCTAATACTGAAATCGCCCTTTCTTCCCTCCGTGTCCTCCGTAATCTCCACGACGACTCTGTCCTCCTTGGTTCCAGCCACCTTCTTTCCAATTTCCTCCCCCTCCCCAGTGACCTCCTCCTCTTCCTCCTCGTCCTCCCCACCCCCCTCCTCCTCCGTCCTGTCGTTTCTGCCATGGCGGCATCTCAGGAGGCGGAGCTTCTATCTCAGAGGGACGTCCTCCTCGGTCTGGTACTCTCCCCATCAGAACCTTAGAGAAAAAAAAAGATGAGGAAAAATTGACTAAAAGACACCCCCCCCCCCCCCCCCCCCCCAATGAAGACTATTTTTTTACCTTATTGACGGCGCACGCGGTCTTCTCCCTGCTGGAGCCACTGCTGGTCTTCACCACGTTGCAAATGTCCTCTCTGGCAGCCAGCAGGTCTGCCATGCCCACCGTGGACTGTGGCCTTAGATTGTGTCTCTTAGGCTGGTAGACTCTCGCCATACTGTCCACTCTCACCTGAAAGGATGATAACCGGTCAGTTTGAGTTTGCAAAAAGAAATCACCACTAGCTCTTCAGTCGTGAACGTGCCTTGGCTCGGTCCGACCACCCGAACGACTGAACGGTGACGTCCAGACGTTTGATCAGCATCCTGCGGCGACACTCGTACTCTGATGACAGGACTTTGTTGATGTTGCGCAACTTCTCCTTTGGAGATGAGCAAATCCACGGAGATGTCAGTACAAACAAAACCCATCAGACTCAAAGTGTTGACTTGAAGATGCTCCTCTACACACCCAATGTTCACTGCTGGGAGATTTCTTCAACACCGGCTTTCCAGCGGATGCGTTGGGAAGATCTTTAAGGAGTTTCTCAACCTATAATTGCCAGATTATAAAACTGATAAATGCTTAATGTGAAATTATTATTAAAAAGACAACAAAAAAACTTGATTTTAATTACAAGATTTGTTTTTCTTATCAAGTTTAAATTATATTTTTCACTGAAAAGTTGTTCACGCGTGGATATTTTCTTCGAGGGATACATTATATGAGAGAAGAAGTTCATTGTAAAACAACTGATGTTTATAAATGTGCTATTGGAGATTTAAAATGTCGATTGGCCACTACTGAATGCAAAAAACAAACAAACAGAGAATTAGGAACATCACCTTTGCACCAATTAAATCCCATTAAAACTGAGCATGTCACAGATGTCCAAACACATGAGGCAGTAGCAAATGGCTCCGGTTAGCTCTGATGTTCCCACCTTGTTTTGTATTTGAGAGAAAACCTCTGCAGCCTCCTGCTGTCTGGGCTCTTGTAGCTTCAGTGTTTCACATATTGATGAAAGCTCTTGACAAACCGAACTCTCCTGGTGTTTTTCATGAGCTCGCCTGCTCCCAACGATCTGAGCCGCCTGAAGCTCAGAGCTTAGAAACACTAATGAAAAAAGAGGCGTTTTTTTATTCTCTTTTCTTGCACTGAACACATAGTTCACAGCAAGATGACCGTGTGAAGGAGGAGGCCGACTACATACAGACTAACTTGAGATGGTCTTTTCTATTTCCTGTGCTGCCCTGAAGAATCCCCGAAACAGCTTCTTCATGAGGACAGTGCAGCTCCCTCAGTAAGCCGCTCACCTCAACCTGGAGGCTGCTGAGGTCATCTGAAAGGTGAAGCTTATTTTGTCACCACAAACATTTGAAACAATGATTTTAAATTAACTTAATGATGATGTTAAAAGGTAAATATGCAATGTTTAATCACTGCGTTTGAGCAATCAAACAATTCTGACCTGGTCCTGAGGTAATGCTCTCCTCTAGATCACACAGAGGTTTTAATCTGGACGTCAACCACCTGCAGAGATCCACAAACTCCGGCGAAGAAAGACCTCCTTCTGAGGCTTTGAGCAGCGCCTTCTCCTCCGACAGCGGGCCGTCGTAGCTACGGTAGGACAGCGCACAATGTACAGAAAACATTTTTAAGCATCATCACTTTGACACCACGTGTCCACCTGTGTTATGTAGAAGCGCGTTCCCCTCCCTATCAAAGCCAGCTACCTATGTGTGTTCCGCATCCTTAAAAATGTTGGCACGAAAAGAAAATTACTCAAGACATGTACTTCCTTAAGTTAACCACGAGTAAATTGCATGCATTTTACATTAATGAGTGCATAAACACTGGACAAAATAGCATTATTGATTTGCTTCAAGCATCAGGACGTTTCTCGTACTCACATGAATGAAAACTTACTTTAAATTATCAAGAGCTTTTTTAGCAACTGTCTTAAAATTATGTTAGCTAAATAACAGGGTTCGTTGGGAAAATCTTTTTTCAAAAATCAAACATATCTCGACGTACCGCCGGCGAATGTGTAACTGAAAATCTGCTTAAGCCAGCACTAAACTGTTAGTCAACATCGCAGCATGTTAACTTACCCAAGTTGCCCTAAAGAATCCAAAATAACACACTCCATCGTCACGATTTTTTATTTTTTATTACAAAAACACGATGGTGACATGTGCGTCAACATAATGAGACCCTGCACGCATTCATTTACAGCGGAAACTGTTCGTCTTCGGTGTTCCGGTTTGGTGCATCAACCGGAGTGAAACAGTGTTACCTTTAAATTATTCCGCTGTGTTTATTTATCGTTTCATATTACAAATTCACACTAACCTAATATTAACGCATTCTCATAAATTAGGTACACGAGTAAAAAGACCCGTAGTGAGCAATGGTTGCCTTAGCTGCAGTGAAATTCAGATTTGAGCGCTAAGATGTGCGTAAAACACTTCTGACTTCTGCTATTTCTCCTTCTCTGTTGGTTTTAGTATATGTAGAAACTAGAAATAGCTTTTTAAATTGCAGATACTGACACCAATATGTAGAGGTTATGGTCAGCCAATGGTTAATAAGTCCTGCCAAGATTTTTCGCCATAATTGTCTGTTAATAACAGTATGTACAGAATATTTCTGAATTTGAATCAGTCTTTGAACACTAAATTGAACCAACTGTTGAACCCAGTGCACCACACGGCCCCCACACACACCCAAGGGCCTTCTCTTGGACCTTTTTTTGCGTCACACTTTTAACTTGAATTTTATTATTATGTTGACCTATATATAATATATATATAATGTATATATATATTATATATATTTATATATATATATATTATATATAATATATAAATATATATAAATATATAAATAAATATATATAATATATATATATATTATATATAATATATATTTATAGATTTATATATATATATATATATATATATATATATATATATATTATATATATATGTTATATATATTTATATATATTATATATATATAATATATATAAATATATATATATAATATATATATATATTTATTTATATATATATATATTATATATATTTATATATATATTATATATATAGTATATATAAATATATATATAATATATATATTTATATATTTATATATATTTATATATATTTATATATATATATATATATATATATATACACACACACATTTGTTTAAATTTATATATACATATATATTTGATGAACCTGTTGATGATTTACAGGGGTGTGATTCGATCATACCAGGATTATGAGAGTTTGTGTATGGTTAAGCAACCCCCTCAACCTTGTGGCAACTGGATGTGGTACAGGGAGCTGCCTTGAGGGTGTACAGCGGGCGTTCCGTTCGACTCCTGGATCAGCACTTCAGGTGGAGGTGGGTCAAATGCTGCTGGAGTATCAGTGGATTAAGCTGGGGTTGCGCTACCTGTTAAGGAGGAAGGGAATTAGGGTGTCGACTTCCACACTGGGCCTGCGAGAGACTCATTGGTAGTTTGGTGGTGGGAGGAGGGGAGGAGGTTTCCTTGAACGGCTGAGGGGGCAGGCGGAGGGGATGGGCCTCCTGGACTGGCCAGTGGTTTCGCACTTAGTTTGGCTGGATGTTCCGCTTTGGCTTTTGCCAGACACAGGGGTGGACCTTTCTTTCTTGGGTCGGGGCCAAGGGGATGGCCTGGATGGGGAGGATGATGGTTATCTGGCCATCATTGAGTCCATCCTCACCTCCTCCATCGCTGTGTGGTACGCTGAAGCCACAGTGAGGGGCAAACATAGACTGCAGCGCATTGTGCGCTCTGCTGAGAAGGTGACTGGCTGCAGCCTTCCATCTCTCCAGGACCTGTACGTCTCCAGAACTCGGGGGTGTGCAGGTCGGATAGCAGCTGACCCTTCGCACCCAGGTCACAGACTTTTTGAGCCGCTTCCCTCAGGCAGAAGGTTACGGTCCATCCGGACCAGAACCTCCCGCCATAAGAACAGCTTCTTTCCATCTGCCGTTAGACTTGTGAATAGATTATGAACACACAACCATGAACGTCTTCTGTACTCGACACAAAGTCACGTTATCGGCCATGTTACCATTACCTGCCATTTTTTATAGCTGAAAGTTTTATTCTAGTTTTTTTTTATTATATTTTATTCTATTTTTAATCTTATTATTAGCACATTAGTACCGAAGCAAGTTCCTAGTTTGTGAATTGTTTGTTCACTGACAATGGCAATAAACCTTTTCTGATTCTGATCTGGGGACGATCAGGGCTTGGTATTTGTCGCTGTTCGTGGATGGCTCCAGGGATCCTGAGAGCGACAGGGCTGCGGTGATTCCCAGCTTGTGTTTTAGGTTTGGTTGCAAAATAAATGACCACTGTTCAGTGTTCTCGTCCGAGACGGTGGCTATTTTGTGCGCCTTGTGCTGGTTGGAGGGTTGAAGGCCAGTATAAACGGTCATCTACTCCAACTCTGCGGCAGTGTTGGGCGCTGTTGGGGTCAAGTTTGAGTCCAGACCAAACTGGCTTGTCTCTGTCCGGTTGTTACTGTACAGGCTGAGGACGATGACATTTGTTTTCTGTGGGTTCCTGCTCATGTGGGGGTGTGTGGTAATGAGGGGGCAGATTGTAGTCTTCCTCAGAGCTTCACTGCTGTTGGTGCCCCCCCCCCCCCCCCCCCCCCTTACTGTGATCATATTTGCATACGGTCAGTTACAAAAATGGCAAATTTGGCCCATTTCATCCAGTAGCAGTGTTTAGAATTTAAACAAACTACTTCAGTCGGATGTGGAACCTTAGTCATACTTAGTCATCTAATTCCGGTCCACTGTCAAAAAAAAAATGTAATTCAGGTTAAAGAGCGATAGTTATTTTCTGATCCTGTTTGATTTTGTCTCATCAAAATTTACATCATCAACCAAGGAGAAAGAGAAGAAAAATGACTGAGTTTAGCAAGCTTCACATTCTTCTTACCACAGAAGTAACAATAAAGCGTTGGAACCACAAAAAGATTAAAACTCACCATTTTATTATGATAATGTTATTTGATATGTCAAATTACAAGTGTATGATGTAACATAAAAACAGTTACAAACATATATATGTGTATTTACATTATATATTTATGAAAAGTAACAAGCTACATCTGTATAAAGAAAATACAACTATAATGTGGGTTATTGGTACTATCCATTTTACATCAGATACTTGGTATTCTCACACCATGAGAAGAAATACCCAGATGTGTAGAAACCAATGAAACCAGGATGAGAGATGTTAAACTGTAAGATGGGAACTAAGATGGACGTGAGGCACTTTTTTGAGGTTGTCAGGATGTGAAAAGCCAATGGCACTAAGAAAAACGAGATGCACGGGAAAGGAAGTAATATGCACAAACAGAAAGAACAAAAAGGGGAAAAAACAGGCTGTGTTTACAGAATAGTTAAGAGTAGTACCATTTATACTGCAAGTTCCAAAACACAAAGGTATTCCACTATTTAGAACTAATCACATAATTGTTACATCAAGCACTGTAGGATGAAGAAAAAAGCTTACAAGTAGTATCATCAGTGCACCAAAAGCATCGGAGAATCGAAAAATAACCACTCCACTGCTGAGAAAAGTAATCTTTTAAAAAAACAAAACAGTACACTGAAGAGAAACGGGTTTATATAGCTTGTCTTTTTTAAATCTACACAATGTCAAGAACGTACCCTGGTTTGCATTCCCAAAGATACGCACAATTTCCAAGGTTGAAAGAGGATAAAAGACTAGCAGCAAAGTGGTTAAAACTGAAGTCTTATATAATGCAGGTCAAATATATATATATATATATATATATATATATATATATATATATATATATATATATATATATATACTAAAGCGGACAGACACATGTTGCATATATAATACAGTACATGACAGGAAGTTGCACTGTGCTGGTTAATGCAGAATGAGAAGTGTTATTTCAGCATTCTCAACAGTTTTATTTCTTTTTTTTAAATTTTGCTTCTCAGCCAGCAAGTTTTAATCAGTTTCATCAAACCTTGGTTCAGATTCCAGTGGGAGAACGTGAAAAGCAACCAAACATTTGGTTACACACCAACCCCCTCCCTCCCCCATACATACAACCTCACACACACACACACGAGAACACACATATACACTAACGCACACTCGTTGTCCCGCAGCGGAACAAACATTTAAAAATGACGGCCGTTAGATGTTGTTTAGATTTAAATTTTAACAGTCGTTCATAGCTGATTTTCTCCGTCAACACAATAAAATTAGTGATTGTATCTAGCAGCTTTATACGTTTTTATATATATATATATATATTTAATGATATATCAAACTTTAAAAACAAGTGGACTATTTTACCGTGTTAGCATTATCCTTTCTTCTACCGTACAAAACTAGAGAGAGACGCTATTAGAAGCTCAATAGTCGTATCCGTCACAAAGCCCTCTACTTTTCAATGTGAAATAATACTAAAAGGTGACTTATGTACAAAATGCTGTCATTAGAAGCTACAGTATAGGCTGACAGCAACGATAAATACATCTCTATCTTTAAAATCTCAAAGAGAAAACGCTGGGATTATTACAGGTATTTAAATATAGTGTTACGTATTTACAAGTGGTTTAGTTTGGTACCGGGGGGAATGGCCAGCTGTGTGTGTAGCATTTAAGTGTCCTGTCCTGTAACTGACTCAGCCGGCGTTGTGTTAGAGAGTTTGCATAGAAAGTAAAGTGTCAGGTTCATGATCCTGTTGCACTCATGCCAAAGCGAGACCTCACCGAGCGTCAGGAGCTAACTGGATCTGGATGAACTAGAGCCGGTTTAGAAATGCGGAAAGGTGACATAGGTAGTGTTATTTAAAGGTGTGGATCCCTCGTTTACATACATTTGCAGTGGTAGGAGTGAAAGTCTTGTAAGTTGTACTCTGGGGAAACAAATCTCCGCTGCACCAGGTTCAAGACGTAGAAGTTAGCTAGAGTCGAGGGGTGTTTCTCAATGTCAGGGTGCCTTGCCTTGCGAGGCAATGTCTTGCGAGGCCAGGCGCCTTGCTTACAAGGACACTGTCCTTCCTTGGTCAAAGAAAACGGTTAAATGGAACAAACTTGCATCACGTGACCGAGGCTTCCACGGCGGTCACGTAACGTCACGTGACACGAGAGACAATGTTATATTTTATATGTATTAGTTTCAATATAAATATAATGAGCCTTTTACTTTTTAAATTGTGTATGTTTATTAAATTAAAAATATAAGTGAATTACTACCCGCTAGCCATCGAAGCTGCAACTACTAAGCAACTAACCAACAATAGATAACTTTTTTAGATCTAAAAAAACATTTTAAATTAGCTGACTTACTTTTAAACTTGAAAATTGTCCCCAAAGTAGCTGCCGGCTTCTGATCCGCCATGTTTTTGAAAATACAGCGGTGTATTCTGGGTAATTTTTGACCAAGTCTAGGCTACAAGACACCTCCCGAGTATCCTTGCTCAGCTAGCTAAACGGCTAACAAATGGAGAACACATGCCTCAGTAGAACATGAACATTGGAACCGATTGGAACACATCTTGGCGGCTCCCGATGACGTTTCTCCTAGGCAACAGGAGCGGGGCTAAGACATCAAGGCAAGGTTCCTTGGCATTGAGAAACACCCGAGGTTCAGACGGCAGGATTTGGAGTCTTATTTCTTGATATTTGGACATATCGCCTCTGATTGGATAGCAGCAACGCAACTCTATCAACGACTCAGTTTTGAAGGTGTGAAGTTTTAATGCTAACGATTAGCTTCTACTATCCAAAAGGCGCTCTGATCTTGCCTGGATGCTAAACCAACAACAGCCTTCCCCTTTTGTGAGTCAAGATGGGTGAGTCCATGAATGTTAAGGGACAGTGTGACGTAGATCTGTCAGACTTTTCTAATCCTAGAGATTCCCCATCTATTTTCTGTCTGAAGCTAGTGCAGGAGATAGGTGTAGACTATTTTCATGTTAAACTCTGAGTGACCAATTATAATCAGAAATAAGATTAAAAAATGGTTTTTCAATGGACCACGCCTTTAAAAATAAGTCAAAGCCTTAGGGTGGGTGTAACTGATCTGTGTTGCTAAATGAACAATTTCTACCAGTAAGGTTCATATCAAGTAAGACTTCACAGGACACCTTATTAAGGGGGAATTACTAGTTTACTTTCTTCACAAGTTCGAGAGGCAAGTGTAATATTTCAATGTAAACTTTGAGACTGTATCAACAGCTGGTTGGTTAAATTTAACAGAACGTCTGGCAGCTATTCAACAGAATCAACTGAAAACAGCTCCAGATCTGTCTAGGAAATGTTTCTTCTTGTAGGTGAAGTGAAACAAACGGATGGACATCTGGGACGATATTAGGAATCTCAACATTTACTGTCAGTCTGACAGGAGAGACACTTTTGAGAGGAATTTACTTTCAGAAAATAACAATTTTTAAAAATTTTGATTGAAATGAATCTAATCTGGAAGGGAAACGGAAAAAAACCTGCTTTCACCTACAAGACGATGCTGTCCGTCCTACTATGTTTCCTTTTTTTTTGTGTAACAGTAAAGAAATGTGTATTATTAATATAGAGGGTGGATTTTGCCCATGAACACGATGATGACGCATGAAAGCAGGGACAAAATGTGTCAAAAAGCTAAAAAGACTTCCCAAAAGTCCTAAAACATTGCATTCACTCAGGGGCTGTTGAATGAAATCACAAAAAATAACACATAAATAAAACGAGTGGGTTGTTTTTTTAAGTACAATGTAAAACAGAATGGATAGTAAACAACAATATAACGTTCAATGAACTAACTGAAATTTGGAGAGGGTGCTGCAACCAAAGTTTGGAGAGCAGTGCTTTAAGGTCAGGTTTCCAAAATCTAAGTGACAAACTCGTTCAATTTAACTGCAAAGTAATTCCGGAATTGGCAAGTTTCCTATTTTAAGTGCCTCCTTATTTCACAAGGGAGCGTTGTAGCCCCCCGTCCCGTTTCACCAAAACAAAACTTGCTGGTTGAGCAACATTTCAACCTTTGATTCAAACTAATTACAAACGTGAGCAAAGAATCAAACCAAATCTGAAGAAACCAAACACCAATCTCACTACAGCAGTAAGGGAGTCGTTTGCAATGTTTCAATGACGTAAATGAAACTCTAATGTGTTGCTTTTAATATAATAAGTGGGTCAAGATTTTTTCAGACATGGAGATGAGGGGGAGGGACCATTCCTGGGACATGGAAAGGTTTTCCCCTTTCTTTTGGATCTAAATTCTCAATTTTTCATTTAAAATTGCCATTTTTAAAGATGTACCTAAAAAAAAAAACAGATTTATTTTTTTCTTTTCTAAACAAAGAAACTCATTTGGCTTCACATCCAGTACAAACATCTCCCAAATGTTAAAAGTTACACTAATAAACATGTTGGACAACATGCCACAAGAACTTCATAAAGGTTATTTTGAACTGGAGGAAATGATCATGTAGTGCACGTTTCTCTGGCGAGTAATTACATTGTCAGCAAACGCTTAAGCCATGAGGGAAAGGCCACTGTTACCCATCTGCAAATCCACAAAAAAAAAAAAGCACAAACACATCCCTTTTAGCATACTCAAACAGCAAGAAGTTGGCTTTTTTGTTCTCAACACGGTGTAGTTGTCTGTTTTATCGCTTTTCCTTCATAAAGTTACACATTGCGGCCTGGCTTTGCCAACGTGAGCGTGGGTCTGAGAGGTGTGTGTGTGTGTGTGTGTAAATGTGTGTGTACAGGTGTAACATCTCCAAGTCTGTTATTCGCAATGTTTCCTCCTTCTCTTCGCCTCAGTTTAAGCTCCTGCATTTACCTTGATGCTTAGAGCTCCGGCAAAGCAAATAGTTTGTTCTCCGCTGCTGCTGCTTGTCGGCGACAAACACAAACTGAAATCTCCAAAAAGCCTCAGAGCTGGGGATCAACAACACATCTCCCCTTCTGAGAGAGGGAGAGGAATGAAAAAAGGATGCCGGCTAATCATTTTCCATTTTTATCCACTGCCTTTGTTAGCTAGCTTTGAGGGTGTCCCGGTGTCCGATGTCGGGTCATCCCGCAGCCTTGTGCTTGCCCCCGCAGCAGTGGCAGGCCTCGCCGCAGTGGTGGCAGGCGCGCAGGGGCAGGTAGCAGCACATGCAGGGCGCGATGAACGACAGCGCCAACAGGGCCAGCCAGCGCAGGCAGAACTGCTCGTCGGAGGTGTCGCACGAACACGGGTCTGAAAAGTCTCCCTCCGAGTCGGACATACAGTGATACAGCATGCTCTCGGCACAAAGCATGCAGCTGACTTTGTAGATACACTGCTTGATTGGGTCGGGGGCATCCGGACACTGCCCCCGCCAATTGTCTTCGTGGTTGAACATCTCTCGACAATAAATGCAACGCGAGCGCTCGCCGTCTTCTCTTCGCCGGCGGCCCTTCTTCGACTTGAGAAGGGGCGACGGCTGAGTCTTGATGGCCGTGTCCTTGCCTAGCCCGAGCCCCATCCCTGTTCCAATTCCCAAACCGGGGCCAGAGTGAGAGTCTCCACCGGGGCCATCAGGAAAAAGGTACTCAAACTTCTTACTGTCCAGTTTGTTAAAAGATGCAGGGAAGTCCATGTCCTCGCGGTCGGCATCGCGTCTGCTCATGACAGGGTGGCGGTAGTCCTCATAGCCTCGGATGAACACGTCTTTACGTGGGTTGATGCGAACAATCTCCTCTTCGTCCAAGTGAAAGCTGACTCGACGAGTCGACTTAAAGAAAACCATCAGAAACAATAAAAAAAAGAAAAAAAATCAGAAAAGGTTTTTCCATGATGCAATTTTTAAACAGAAGAGGCAGCTTCAGGAACTCACCGGTGGAGGCAAGTAGCGGCGGTTTTCATTGAAGGGCTGCGTTGGGACGTAGCAACCTCGGAATGGCTCGGTGGGGACAACGAAGGTCTCTTTCATTGGGGTGCAGATCGAGGGAGGCTCGTTGCACACCTGAGGAAACCAAAGTGAGTTTATTATTAAACACAAAAATAAAAAAAGGCTTTTAAAAATTCTAGATGAACACCAGCCCCCTTGGCATATATAGAACATGATTCATAGCCGTTACAGTGACTACTACATTTAGCAGAAACACGTTTAGAATTCCTGATAAGCAACCCAAATCACTAACCAATAAATAATACATAATTAAACACACCAAAACTGCAGCTTAAACATTTGACATTCTCACTTTGAATATTATTTCACTGTTGAGCAGTAGTGGTCAGCTTTTATGACTAGAAAAGCTTTGACTCAAGGTGTGTAGGCTGTGTTCGCCCATGTGTGTGTGTGTGTGTGTGTGTGTGTGTGTGTTATTGAACCACCAGGGGGCATCCTGCACCCACGCTCAGCCAAAATGACTTGTTGTGTGGTGATGACTCAAGGCCCTTCTGTTGCAAGAACTCAGAGTTCCCATCAGGCTTGCATGTGTTCCCACAAACAAACACACACCAGAAAAAAATGCGTTTGAACAATACAACGAGATAAATGAAAGTAAATATTTTCTTCGCTTTGCACCGACTGACCTGATAGGAAAAACTCAAGTGTTGAAATTAGGGTGGTTGTCTAGAATTAGCATCTAATAAATGTCAGATATGATCTCAGGTTTGACAGATGAAGATGGATGTGATCTTCAGGAGACTTTTGTTTCTACTTCTAACATTGACGCAAACTGAGGTAACCTCACCTAACTCCGACCCAACCCTAGTCGCTGTCCAGCTAGCCCTCTTTTCTCACACATCGACCTGATGAAGACAGGGTTAGCTCCTTTCCTCCTCTCTCCTCTGTGCATGTGGAGGAGGCTGCTGGCTCTGGTTAGTCAGTGCCGTGTGTAAAATAGCCCACACCAGTGCTTTAACGCACAGCGGAAATCTGGTTTGCTCCTAGCTGCTGCTACAGTAATTACTGTCCTGTGGTTGCTAAGAGATGCTTCCTTTGACTTCCACCCCCCCCCCCCCCCCCCCCCCCATCTCGACTGCTAGCACATGAATGTGCGTGACTTTGCTCTTTCTTTGCCTTCAAACACACCAAATGGCGTAACACACATCCACAGTGTCTGCAGGGGAATGCGAGGAACAGGAGACAGAGGATAGAGAGAGAAGAGAAAGAACAGAGCAGGAAAAAATGAGATTGTGTTGCATGCATGTGTGCGTCTTTGTGTGAAAGCTCAAGAAAGGGAGAAAACACAGAGAGCACGAGAGGCCAGCAGTCTGCAGAGGGAATGTCATAAACCAGCTCCAGCTGGAGGAATGCAGCATAGAACTTGAAAAGCCAAATGACAGCTGTTTGTGTGTGTGTGTGTGTGTGTGTGTGTGTGTGTGTGTGTGTGTGTGTGTGTGTGTGTGTGTGTGTGTGTGTGTGTGTGTGTGTGTGTGTGTGTGTGTGTGTGTGTGTGTGTGTGTGTGTGTGTGTGTGTGTGTGTGTGTGTGTGTGTGTGAGAGAGAGAGAGAGAGAGAGAGAGAGAGAGAGAGAGAGAGAGAGAGAGAAGCAGAGTGAAGGGGGGAAAGGTGAAAGAGTGGGGAGGTGAAATGGGAAACAGACTTGGGCTTCCTTTTAAAGTGCTTGCCTAAGCCCCACCATTCAAAAGCATGCGTGGGGCCAATCTGGAGCTGATCTGACCCTGGAGATGTGGCTGGGCGAGAGAGAGAGAGAGGAGAGCAGGGGAGGTGGTGGAAGCCAGGGAAAACATGGCTCCACCACTTCAGGGATAAATGCACTTCCGCCCTCAAAGGCACAGGGGTTTAGGATGGGGAAATCTGGCGGACTGGCCACATGCTTGCTGCAGTTCGGGTTACACTTATGAGTGACGGAAATTCAGTGTGGGTTTGAAGCCGGTGCTGAACCGGTTCTTTAGACTCCCAACAGCGGAAGAACCAGCTCTCAGCCATGAAAACTGGTCGTTAACAAGAACTATCTCCACTCTCCCCCTCACTGTTTGCTATTTTTATCGAACCACTAGCGGCAGCAATTAGGCAAACAACAGATATTAAAGGGATAGAGTGTAAGAAAATAGAACATAAGATCAGTCTTTATGCAGATGATGTTTTACTTTCTCCAGAATTCTTGATCCTCTCTCTCCCATTCAATAAAACTGATAAACTCTTTTTCAAGAGTTTCAGATTACTCTATAAACTGGTTAAAATCCACAGTTCTACCAATTAATTTCTCTTTTGTCAATTTGCTTAATACACAATTGGAGTCAGGGAATATCACATGCCTGGGAATTAATGTCTCTCCCAAGTTAGCAGATCTAACCAAACTTAACTACATCCCACTTTTAAAGAAAGTGGAAGATGATCTTGCGAGATGGAAATCCTTACCGATATCACTCATGGGGAGAGTTGCTACAATTAAAATGATGGTCTTACCCAGAATAAATTACTTATTCTCGATGATCCCAAACAAACCACCAGCTGACTGGTTTAGATCTCTGGACTCCTCAATTACTAAATTCCTTTGGCAGGATAAACCTCCACGAATTAGCTTAAAAATGCTTCAGAAGACCAAAGACAGAGGAGGACTGGTTTTGCCCAACTTTTATTATTATTTCTTAGACAACAGGCTGCAATATATACCAAGATGGTTGCAAGATAACCCACTAGATGAGTCCTGGTTAGATATAGAACAGACACTTTGCAATACGATAGAGCTTTCAGACTTCCCATTTATTAGCTCAAGCATAAGAAAACATGAAGGCTTCAAAAGTATTAGTATCAGCACTTCTCTGGCAGCATGGTGGGAGTATCTAAAAATGACAGAGTCTTCACTAATACCATGCAGACGCACACCTATCTGGAATAATCCTGAGATTTTGCAAAATAACCAAATGATGAACCTTCCGGACTGGAAAAATAAAGGAATCCTATACCTGGAACACATATATGAAGGATTGGACTTCATCCCATTTAATAGAATAGTCTCCCAATTTGGAATAGATAAGAATAGCTTTTTAGAATACCACCAAATTAAATCTGTAGTCAAACAAAAAATTTAAGCTCAATAAAATAGAATTACAAACACCACCAAGGGTGTTAGACTTCTATAATCTCACCCCCCCCCCCCCCCCCCCAACTACTGTCTAAAGTATATAAGACACTGTCCAAATTAGACAATAAAATTGCAATACCTATTGAAAAATGGGAGGTGGATCTATCAGTTAGCTATGACCAGAACTTCTGGTCCCAAACTTGTTTAAAAACTTTTAAAATGATCAGACACCCCAATTTACAATTAATTCAGTACAAAATTCTACACAGAGTACACTATACAGGTCATCGGATGTTCAAGATGGGGTTTGTGTCGTCTGACACCTGTACACACTGCACAAACAACGTTCCTGACAATTACATTTATGCACTGTGGTCCTGTCCACCTGTCCAGGAATTTTGGGGTAGAGTATGTGAGGATCTGTCAAAATGTCTGAAATGTCATATCCCAACTTCCCCCTCTCTTTGTCTACTGGGAAACCTGGACGATGTCCCGATTGAAACATCTTTGGTTCACGTGGTTCTGACTGACATGCATCGCTAAGAAAACTATCTTCTTGAATTGGAAAACTAGAGAAACTCTCTGTATTAACTAGTATAAAAATCTTTTGTTAGATCATATTACACTTGATTCAGCTTCTGCTTCCACTTCAAATCAATCTCTCTGGGCTCCTTTCATCGGTTCCATCACATAGCGCTGATGGGGGACCATTGATGTTGTCCTGCGGGATGATGTGGGTGGGGGGGTGGAGGGTCTGAGTTTGGAGTATCCTGATGTTCCCTGGAGGTGGGTTCACTGGGGGTGTCTGGGACTGGGGGGCCGTTGCCCCCCCTCTGGAGGTGCTTGGGTCGCCTCGGGGGGTGGACTACTGGCGGTTGTGAGTGGGGCCCCTTGGAGGTCTTGGCAGCGGCCATGGGTCACTGCCTGGCAGCTGCATTGCCCCTGGGCTGATCTGGGTGGGGGCCTGGGTGCTCAGGGTGTGGGGGTGGCCAGCCCCGTGTGGGGATCTGGGCGGAGCCTTGGGGGTCGGGTCCTGACATGTATGCTGCCGGGATGAAGACATGAACATGCAGCAGTGCCTGGCCTGGGTTCAGGGACCTCGGGTAGACCTTGGCTCCTCTGCTGTCCCATCACAGGGCAGGGGGAGGTCCAGGAGGGGGAGGACCCAACCTTACCAGGATGTCCCATGTCTTATATATTCTGGAAGTTGTGCAAATGCAGGGATGGGCATAGATATTCTGCTGGGGTGGGGCTGGGTTGGTTGGTGCCCTCGGACTCCGTGAGGCTCTGTAAGGTGATTTGTTCACTGACTGATTTCTGCAACAACGCCGCTAACTTCCTGTAACACATTTGGTGATGTGCAGGAGCCGGTAGAAAACGGCATGTCAGTGCAACTTGAAAAAACACAAGTACATTTGATAAACAGTTATTCTATCAGTTTCTGCATTTTGAATTTATGACCATATAATCATCATATTGATGATCATATAGGGCAGCAGTAACAGGTTGTCCAATAATCGGAAGGTTGCAGGTTTGATCCCGGCTCCGGACTGAGAATTCTGCTGTTGTGTCCTTGCCTGCTGGTGGTGGTAGGAGGGACCAATGGCACCAGTGCTCGGCAGACTCGCCTCTGTCAGTGTGCCCCAGGGCAGCTGTGGCTACAATGTAGCTCATCACCATCAGTGTGTGAATGAATGAATGAATGAATGAATGATACACTGAAGTGTAGAGTGCTTTGGAGTCCCTACTCTGAGAGGAGCTATACAAGTGTGGGTCATTTATCTAATACTGATTAGTAGACATTCTCTACTAAATGAACATCAGTACATACAACATTCACTAACACTGACTGTTGTTGGCAGCACTCAAAGAAAATATTAGACGATGGAGAAAATGGTTTTAAAAGCATTTCATTAGTTAATACCTCATCCTGGTTGGGTTGTTTTGTATTCCGCCTTTCTAAAAAA